GATTGATCTATTTTACTGTATAATGTCATTGTTAGAGACTTTGCATTCTTCCTTTTCATACTTCATCAGAAGTGTCACTGTCAGGCAATACTTTGCTTTTCACATAAAAGGACCCTGGATGTGGTGCTATTCCTTTCCCTCTATGTGAGGCACAGAATGAGATTATCCATCGATCGTGCAGTAAATGCAATGAAGCGCAGGAAAAGAATCGGAAAGGGAGTGTTTATCTTTCTTTTTCAGCACTTTGTTTTAGTAGGATTGTAGGCAGGCTAGAAATGACTGAGCTCCGAAAACAGCACTCCCGCTCTTACAAAACACAGGATTGGGTTTCTTTCATGTTATCGACGTGCTCTGGGGTTGTTATACTGTTGTATTGTCTGAAAGAAGACACGTCCTTCAGCACCAGGCTTCCTGTCATGGTGCGGTCAGGTCCACCGATCTACCGGGTTGCAATTCCTGCTCAGTCCGGTGCGGGGCCGCGGTCCGCCGGATCTTAACCCAGCAGACAATGCGCGCAGGGCAGGACACGGTCTGCGCGTATTGCTTTGATTTATTGGGGGGTGGGGAGCGGGGCATAGAGAAAAATAAAATAACGTCACACAGATCCCGCACTCCAGCATGAAACACTCCTGAAGATGCAGGATCTAACGATCGTGTCCTCTGCGGTTCTGTCTGGAGCACTATTTGCTTCTGGACAGAACCGCAAGAGTGACCATTGGTGTTTGACTCGTACTTGATGAGGTGCTGGAGCTCAGTGTCAACAGGAGAGAGCCGGTGCACGGCATCGACCTGCGCAATAACACCAAAATATCGAACTTACAACACATTTGCAAGGTACGACAGTGGATAACACACCAACGAGATAACTATAAAATATTTTAATAAGTCATTTCAAATGCTATAATCGTATATTACTAGGCCTGCTCTATTTCCACTCTGACGAAGCTGTGGCTGGGTCCATGACCACTCATTAGTCTCTGCTGTATATAGAGCACTGGGGTAACCGCGTTGATAAAAAAATACAGCGTTTTATGTTACGGATACAATTTACGTTTTTTCCTCCATTTGTTCGTAAACCCACGATTGAACACAGTTTCACTTTATAAGAGGATCAAGGCACTTTCTGTTCGAACTGGCAGCAGAGCGCGGTGTCCTGTCTTGCCGGATTATTTCCCACCTGCCTCTGTGGAAATGTGTTTGAATGTTTGATTTTATTTTAAACTTATGTTTTTTGCAACAGTACGCATTATCGTTGGGAATAACATGCACGTATGCACTTATTTTACAAATCTTTCAATTTTTAATATTCACTCAGATTTTTGCCAATATGTTTGATGTTTGTAAGAATCTTTCCCTTTTGTTTAAAGAGCCAGGAGTATCTCCAATTTCATGAATTAAACAGACATTTCCACCCTTTAAAAGCAGAAACAATTCACCTCGTGAAAACAGGGTCATAAAACATTAAAGCAAGCAAATTTAGAGAAATGCATCTGTTATCAGTTATTGCGGCTGCGTTGTTGTAAAGACTGCAGAAAAGCATAGCAGGTCACAAAGGTTAACCGACTGATGGAATCTCTTTGCCCCAGACAGATAATCAGTGTGCTCAGCGTGCGAACTGCAGAAAACATCAACTACAAAAACCGAAGACACAGACGCTGCTCTAAAAAATGTCTGTATTCGAAACAAAATACAGATATAATCTGCAGCATGAACAGCTGACAGGACGATTCTGGGTTCCAGCTTCAAGAAATGTATTTTAAAAAAAATGAAAACAAAGACCTGAAACAATGTTTTCTTGTGTCCCACGGAGAACCAGAGCTGAGCGAAAGGTTTAAAACCTTCAGTGGAGCGTGGTCGGTTTTGTTTCAGTTTTCTAATCTTTTTTTACAGAACAGAAAAAGACTGAACTAATGAGCTGCTCAGTTACAAGTACAGTTTTGATTTTTTTTAAAAAGCCCTCCGGAACAGCTTGTTAGTGTTGACAAGTTTAAAAAACATTTAACGCTTAAAAATCGCAAAACAAAGACAGGCAAGTGGTGTTCACTGTGGGAGACGAGAGGCAGTAAGAGTTATTTAATCATGTAACTCTTTGTTGGGTTGTCTAAGGTACCTGCACGATTAAATTAAATGTTGCAGTTCCTTTGAGCAGGAATTCTACTCTCACATTCCAAATCTAATTCCTGTGCCTTGCCTTGCAGCAATGTGGGGGTGTGTGATCACTATTTAATATTGTGCCTTTAAAATATTCATCAACATAAACACAAAAACAGAAAAAAATATGTGCAGATTGAGGCCTATAGACGAGATTTGCTGACTGACTTTGCAAAGCTTTTGACTTAGAAAAAGCCTCAGACAAGATTCTGCTGCAGAGGGTGGTGTTTAAAAACTTTCTCTACATTCGCACACACAGACAAACAAAACAAAACAAAACATTGCACCTTGCAAAATACATTGCAGAAGAATTATGCAGATATTTCTGTGTGGAATTATTTAAACCTGAAATGACAGATGGTGTTTATGCTGGCCGGCTACAGATGTTTTGTTAAAATAAATATAAAGGGCTTGCAGTAATCACACTGACACTATCAAAGCACAGGGCCGGCCATAAATAGAAATTAGTTACTTTTCCTGGTTTAACTGCAAACTATTTTTGTAGCAGGACCAATCACATTGCATTTACTGTGGCTCTGCCTGTTCGTGGTATTTTAATTGTGTTTTGTGGCATGAGGTTTCAGAAACTATAAAGGTAGAGCATGTTCTTAAATTATGTCATAGATAGCAGGGCAGCATGGTGCTGCAGTGGGCAGCATTGCTGTCCTGCTGGGGCTCAGAGTTCAATTTCTGGGTTGCTATCTGTGTGTTGTTTGTATGTTCGTCTGTGTCTCCTTCCACGGTCCAAAGACATATTGGTGGGTTAAGTGGCTTTTGGGAAAATTGACCCTGGTGTGAGTGTGAGTTTTTCTGTGTCTGTCTGCCTGTGATGGACTGGTGTCCTGTCCAGGGCGTACCCTGCCTTCCGCCTGTTGCTTGCTGGGATAGGCTCCAGCTCCTCCATGACCCTGAATCGGATAAAGCAGTGAGAAAGTGGATGGATGGATGACACATATTGGTACTGTATATCTATCATTGAGTCCATATGTGGGTCTGTAGATCTGTGCACCAAAAAATGCAGAGCCTGTCAATAGCAGAGCCAAGTAAACTGAGTAGAATCTGGCCCCACTGCTTGTTGTTTGGAGAAAAAGTCTTCATTTTGAAAAGGGAAGTAACTAGACACCAAGAAAACAGAGCAGTGTACACCCATCTTGTACTTTAAATTGCACTTGAAACAATGGTGGTCGAGACTTTTCACTGCAGAATAGAAGCTGTCCAGGCTTTTGTGTTGAAACCATCTCAAGGACGCACATCAGGAGGAGACAGCCTTCAGATAAAAAGGCCGTTATTCTCTTTGTGTTCACTCCTAGTCAGTACTGACACAGCTGCAGTCACTGTTTCAACTATATGCTTTACGATCACTTAATATGTAGGTGAGGGGAGGTGAAGAGTGCCCAGGCCTGTATAGAAAATAACAGTACAAAAATATCCGGGAATTCATGACACTTGAAGGGATGTTGAGGTAAGAAACACTCTATGGATAAGATACACGACTCGCATCGGGTGGGACATGTAGCTTTAAAACTGGTGTTGATGGTTTCAGTGATCTGAGCCAACTATGGCAGCTACTTATTCAGAATAAAATCACAAGATGCGCGTTTGTTTCTCTCGGAGTTAATGTGAGAAAACGGAAATTCAGACATTGCTTTGTTCTAATTGAGCTTTCAGATTCCTCCTGAGTTTGAAAGTGCCCGACAAAGAAAAAAACCAACATTCTCTTCTTCTTCTCCAGGATTTTTCTAGTGTGTGTTGTGGGACAGGTGTGTTTTGTGGGGTGGAGCACTATCCGTGCTGGCCAGGTGCAGTGTGGGATTGAGAACAATCCTCTCTTGAGACATTGCTGCTATACAGCATAATGGGAGTTTGCTAATGAAAGATCAAGAGCTTCATTTCTCATTTCTTTATGCAGAAACCAATAGTTGAAACCAATATTTCCCATGAACCCCACAAGCTACCAACTGGGTTAGATGGTCTGAGTGGCCTCCTCTAGTATGTGACCTTTTAACCTAGTATGTGTTTCCCAGTCCTAGTTCTCCTAGTTCTGAGTTTCCACACATCAGTTGATTTCTTTTCCAGCTGATCTTAATCTTAAATGCTTAATTGAAGTGCCTTTAAGAGCCTGGGGTCAGAGCGCAGGATCTGCCATTGTACGGCGCCCCTGAAGCAGCTGGGGTTCCTCTGCTGGCTGCGGGATTTGAACCGGCAACCTTCTAGCCACTGGCGCAGATCCTTAGCCACAGAGCCACTGCTCCGCCCCAACCTCTTTATCCAATACAGACTATCCCAGCAAGCAACTGGCACAAAGCAGGGCACACCCTGGACAGGGGACACCCACATGCACATGGAGAGAACATACAGACTCCACGCAGATAGCACCCCAGGAATTGAACCCAGGGCCCCAGCGCTGCAAGACGCCCAATGATAATCACTGCATCACCATGCCACCCTGCTACTGAAATGGAATAGTTTAACGACCCCCAACATGTTGAAGAGCTGCGGACAATCAAAACAGTTCAAATTATGCCTGTTATAATGTCAATTAAGGGTTCAGCTGCGTGACAGAGCTCATCTGCAACAAGAGACAGCAGGTGTGTGGGCCTCCAGGTAAAATAAAAAGCAGAAAATGGTTCCTGAAGGGATTTTGTCTTCTTTATTTGTTTCCTTAACAGTGAAGGAGTTCAAAGTGACCATTCGAAAGACTGAGGCCACGGAGAGGTGTCGACTGCGGGGCATGTACATCCTTAGGGCGGACTTCGAAAACCTCGTGCTCAAGGACACCAAGACAGGAGAGGCTCTGTACACCTGGCCCTACAGGTTTCTCAGGAGATTCGGCCGTGACAAGGTAAGGCCTTCTGTAAGAGAGGGAGAGCTTCTTTTCTCAGCTCTTCTCTCATTCCCCTGTATGCATACTGTATATAAACATTCTGTTGCAGTATGGTACTATTGTTACATACGTTGTATATTATGAGTTCTTGATGTGCAAGACAATTTCCCTTAGGGGCAATAAAGGTTAATTCAATATAAGGAAGGGCAGAAATAAGTCATATTGTGTAGGAAAAGAAACTCCATAGGAAAACATGAGATATTGTACTTGTGGACAATGTGGATGCACATATTGTGTAGCATTCATAGACATTTTCACAGCAGATGTGTATCTGCTGCGTATCGCTATCAGCTATGTAGTGCATAAAGTCTTAAGACAGTTCATGGCTTTCTAAAGGGATCAACAGATGAAGATGCTCACTGAGGCACAGGCTGACCTCTGTCATCACGTGTTTGAGCCTGGGTCTTGTCACTTCTGACTGTGACCGCAATTGGCAGTGCACTATTGGCTGAGACTGCTGATGGTAGGGGCTGGGGCTCTTTAGGCACACACAGTGACACTCTGAGGGTGCTTGCAGGCTATTGATGCTGTGGGTGAGAGACATGTCTCTCCTCCAATCATGACTGATCTTCCGGGGGGGGGGCGGTGCTCTGGGTGAGGCGTGTGCCTCTCCTCCAATCAGGGCTGATCTTCCAGTGGGGGGGCGGTGCTCTGGGTGAGGGACTCTGGAACAATTTCATTAACTTTTATTAGTGCTGTGAGCATGAGCTATAGGCTTTATGACCCCGGAGATAACGCATTTAGCTTTCACTTCCAGGTGACGTTCTCCTTCGAGGCCGGACGGAGGTGCACCTCGGGGGAAGGCAACTTCGAGTTCGAAACCAGACAAGGGAACAGCCTCTTCCAGGCCATCGAGTCGGCCATCAACGTGCAGAAGAGCACCCTCGCCCACCACATGAAGCACTTCTCCAGCACGGAAGGGGACGCCTTGCCGAGTCCCCGATCGCAGGCAGTGGGCGCCTCTGGCACTTACAGCATGGTCAGCGAAGTTCAAGGGGAAGTCCAGCAGGGCAGCCGGCAGAGGATGGACCTGCCGAGCGAGACTCTGCTCTCCGGTGTCAAGAGCTTGACGCTAGACTCGCGATCGACGCCGCGGAAACCTCAGGTCAAGACCATAGCGAGCTGCCCGATACTCTCCCAGGAGGACCAGACCTACTCCCAGATCTCCATGGCTCCCGGGGAGCCCCTAGACCACGGGAAGGACAGAGGGCCCCAGAAGAGTCAAGGCAAGTCCAGCCACCGCGAGTCGGAGTACGCCGTCCCCTTCGACACCATCGCCAAGAACCTGGCCAGCACTTTCCGGACTTTCTCCATCCCCACCCCGGAGGAGACGGGCTCCGAGCGGGGGAGAGGTAAGGTTCCCCTGGAGGCCCCCGACCCCCTCTACGACTCGATCGACGAGTCGGCGATGAACAGGGCCAAAATCCACAAGCCTGCCGCCTACACCCGGGCGGAGCACATCTACGATGAGCCCGAGGGCTGCGCGGTCGCGGCAGCGACGGGCACCTCGCTGTACGATGACCCGGAGGAGGTCAAGGGTTACGCGTGGAAGCTTCAGGCTGCCTCCATGGACCCCGCCGGGCACGAGTACCCCTACAACCCCTCCGTCGACGACTACGCCGTGCCCAAGCCCCCGAAAAAGGTCCTCAGCACCGAAGAGTCCGACGAGGATGTCCAGGATCAAGAGGAGGAGAACCTGGACACCACCTACGACAACGTGATGCTCAAATCCATGGAAAAGATGAATAAGAAGTAGGGGTGAACGAACCTGACTTGTGCAGAACAGCCCTGGAAATTGTTCTCGGGCCCAGGGAGGTCAGAACTGTAGCACAACCTTTCCAAAGCTTGCTTGATGTGCCAGATGTCTGTATTTCCCCATTCCAAAACTGCCAAGAAGGGACCACAGCAGTGCAAATGCTTCAAAAGAACCTTGGTAGGTTCAGGTCTCTGCTGTTAACAGTTCATTACGTGCGAGTGGGAAGAAATTTCTTTCTGTCTTTAATCATGTCAACAGAGTAATCACTGCCTCGCATTGATCTGAGATGCAGCAGTTCCAGTCCCAGCCCTGGTTCGTGTCCATAGTGTCAGCGCAGCTCGAATGAGCATCAGGTTATTTTAAACACAGCCACAGACAATGTGTCTGCTTCTCTGTTTCAAGAGGTAAACAGAACTATTATTTCAGGAAATGATTAAATCCCCAGATGCAGTCCTATATTTATAAGAATATGAACATATTAAAACCACACAAGATCAATGACAAAGGGGCAGTTTCTTCTCCAATCTATAGTATAATGAGTTTCTTTGTACTTTTTTTGTGACACATATTTCGTATTTATTGCTGATGTCTTCATTACAAAAAAATAGGCTGTGAGTCTGGTCTTTCGGTTTGAATTTTGTTCCTAAAGCCCTCGGATAACTGCAGGGATCTTCACACGAGTCAGGAGACAGAATTTACCAACATCTGCTAGCAGACCTGCTTGGGTTTTAAAGACTTATGGAAATTGTAAACACATGTTTGAAAGTGTGGGTGATCAACATGGAAGGAAGCCTAAAAAAACTGAATAAAAATGATTCAGAATCTGACAACATGGATTTTAAAGAAACAGGTGTTGTAATTCTCCAAGTTAACAGACACTAGCAACGGAGTGATGACTTCTGAATGGTCTGTTTCTTGTTACTGTCAGTAAAAATAGAACTTAAAGATGTATGCTCAAGTTTGGGGTTGGCCAAAGGTTGGAAGAAAAACTTTTAAACAAAAGAAACTTAACAAATGAGAGTTTAGCTAATGGGCTACAGTAGCTATTTTGCTAGCTAGGGGCTAATTGATCTAAGAATCAAGAATCCTATCCAACATTTTTTTTTAAGAAGTCACATATCAACTTGAACAACATAGCTACACAGCTTGTTCCAGACTCCCACAACTCATCATGTAAACAAGTGCCTCCTGTTCTCCATTTTAAATGCACTTCAAATCCACAATCCATAGTTTCTACGTAATTCACTACATTTCTTCAGGGAGTCTTAAATGAGGCAAAGTTTCAAGTTCCAATTTTCCATGAATAATTAAACAAATGCTTATGTGAACTGAATGACTTATGACAGGATGCAAATTGATTTGTTTCATACCCAACTGTTATTTTTTTTACCAGTAGGAAAAAAAATAGGTCAGTGGTCTAAAATGACATTAGTACATGATAAACATAGTGCATGTTTCTGCAGTTTTACATTTGTGAAAGCGTCACACACTTTTTGCTGTGTGGTACCTATTCTATACTGTCAATCTTTTTACTTTTTTAAAACTTTTTTTCTTCTGTTCAGTACAACCTATCACCTAAACGTTAGGCGAAGGATAATGAGCACGTTAAAACCTCACAGGAGAGGAAAAAAGAGGTAAGTGCTGAGTCAGCTACAACCACACTCGAATATTCTGCTTTTTGAGAGTATGCTTGTCAGAAAAATCAGAAGAAATGCTTATAATTTTCTGACCTTCCCTCTTCCATCTGACGGACCTGCCGTATGTGACATCCCAGAGCTACTGGTTTCATCGCTCGGGGGCTGAATTTCTCTGCCCCTGACAGCCCTTTCTCATGTCTGAGGCTGGAACGTGCACCTGTGGCAGGGCTTGATCTACAGAGGAGCTGCCAGAGGAGCAAGCAGAGATTGTTGGCAAGTGCCTTTCAGAGTGGAATTCACCTCTGCTGTCCTGCATTGCGTACGTCCTGCACATGAAAATGCTTTCTATCTCCTTCCTAACCGCTTTATTCAATACAGGGTCACAGGGGAGCCTGGCCTGTCAAGCAACAGGTGCAAGGCAGGGTACACCCTGGACAGTACAGCAGCCCCTGTCAGGGCCCCAGCTGTGCCAAGCCCCGGACCACCATTTCAGAGCTCTTTATCTTAAATCAGATGCCCACAACCTTAAGTCTACCCTTCTGCAGCTGGCAATCGCGAAGGCCGGCTTGATTAATCGGAGCGGTAATTTCAAGTAAATTACAGCGATTTATAATGTAAAAATAAACGAACGCTTATTAAGTAGCTTACATGCACATGTTAACAGCGTCGTTAATCAATACTAGAGTGCCTTGATAGGGCCTTCACTGCTGCTTCACATCCTTATTAAATAAAGAATTAGGGAGGCAGAACTCTGACATGGAAATTATTCGGAGCCTGGCAGTTTCACAATGAAGATGTCACCCTGCTGCATTCATCTATCTGATCTTTTCTTTTTTTTTTTTTTTTAACGTGGATCCCTAGTCTGTGCTTCCAGGATGATAATGGAACAAAATGCGAAATTTGGAGTCGGCCCGTGGGATATTAGCATGTTATAATTGCTCAAGATGGGGGGCTGTGGTTACACCTTTTGCAGAGCAAGCAATTGGCCCGAAGCAGTCTGAGTGGAGGAATGGTTCTGGTCTCCACGTCTGTGTGCTTCGTAATGCAGGGAAAGATATATGACCAGCTTGTTTAATAACCCCCCCCAAGAGGACTGACTGCCCACCACACCCATCACAAGAGACTAGAGATCACCACACAACCCCCGGTCACGCAGAAGTGAGACCAGCACCACAGTCAGAAACGGCTCTGGGTCTGACAGTATCCCTTTAAATGCTTCCTCTCCACCTTTGACACAGGAAAGTTGGCTACCTGGATATTCAAGGGATTAGAAAAATAAATTACAAGCCCGAACGCTGTGTTCATTTGCTGTTTCAGGTCAGAGGTTTGTCCCTTTGGCGTAAGTGTGTCTCACAAGGATTCTCATCACATTATTTCAGCAGCTTCCCAGTCTCAGTGCTGGTGACACCCCAAGTCTCTTGGGTCTCATTTCTGTTGAATTCCTGTTCTGATAAATGCTAATTCAGCCCTTAACTGAAAAAATTCTATATCTTTTATGTCAAGATATTGGTTTTACCGCTTGAGATGTCCTCACTGAAGAGCAGGCAGACGACATTTGCAAACTGCCTTTGCTGAGATCTTTTTAGCTGCAAATGGGATGGGCTGATGGAAAGACAGTACGTGTACGAGCTGCTGCCTTCAAACAGCTTCTCCCGTCCTCTTGCCTGAAGAGCTATTGATGATGGTCGGACCCAGGTGTGGGCGATAAAGCACTAGACACTGCCAGGGTGAGGAGTCCTCTTCAGCTGAGTTCTGCAGTAAAAAGGGTGTTTTGTGCAATCCAGCAGCTGGAAAAGTGATCACTTTGATTTCAGACTCCTTGAGAGGTGAAAGCAGTTTATAAGTGGGAGTGATATAGGTAGTAGTGAACTTAGGTTTCCTTCAGTAATTAAGACTTCACAAAACCAGAAAAAAGTCGCTTCTGAGCACCAGAAGGGAGAGGAGCTGTATTGCCCTGTCAGCTCACCCCTTTCGCAGTGCTAAGCACATAATTCGAGAAAGAAAATGCCGGTTGTTTCCCCCACCCCTTCTTCCCTGTGCCGACTTCGAAGAGCTTGAAACTACACGAGCACATCCAGCACAATAAATCAAACTGAAGCGCAATCTAAATGCAAATTAAAGATTTCCCGAAAAATGCAAATACATATGCTCAAAATGTACCCGGCGAATGTCTGAAAGACAGGCCTTTCATCGGGGGAAAAAAAATCCCCAAAAGTCAGTTTCGGCGTCTCGAATCGGAATTCCTCTCCAAACCGCTTACTTGACATTTCGGAGGATTTTATGATGAATACTTTTTCCGTCCTGAAACGGCATGTTGCCTTGAGAAAGGCCCGGCTGCGGAGCACAGAATCCAGCTGAAGAGTTCTTGGTTCTGGTTTTTTAAACCGTTGGGTAACACTTTCATCTCCTGCAAACCCTTCACAAACGACGAGGCAGGTGCCCCTTTCGTGTCACCCGGCTGTGGGTCAGGAGCCGATGGATCTTTTCACTTTCCATGGGGGAATTTGGTGTGAAGAAAGTACTGTGGGGGGCAGCGGGCGTGGTTCAGACACGCACTCACGTTTTCCCACGAAACTAGATGCACCGGTCCTCAATATTACAGGACAGTCATTTGTAACCTTGCCCGTGTTGCGCTAGCTCACAAAGACTCATATGTGCTTTCTCGTTAGTACTGAACCATAAGCACGGTCAACTGATCTCTTGCAAGCGCTAACCATATCGCCCTTATTCAGCCCAAAATAGGACTCACTCTCGAGGCTGTTCGGAAATTTTTAGGTAAAAGCTAAACTAGCTCTTTACCCAGAGGGTTATGGGAGTATTTAGCAAACTAACCTGCGAAGTTGTTGAAGCCAATATCCTGGCTTCTTTAAAGAAATGGCTGTGAATCAAATAGCTGATAATTACCACGCGATACCTCTCTTACTTTCCTGAGCTTAAATGCATCTTAGAAAACGGGGTTCAATTAACAATCCTCTTGAATGAGTGTGTAACATTCCCTCGGTCTTCATTCACTAACTTCTGCAATGGTGTTACTTATGCACTAGAGGGCAGTATATCCCTTCACTGGCTCTTCGGTTTTGGAAAAAAAACCCTGGACCATACTCTACAGATTTACTGTCATAACGGAGGGTGGTGTGGCAGGAATACACAGGGAACCTTTGTCCTGAATGCACAGATTTCAATATATAAAAAAGACCTGCAAGAATTGTGGTGTTCAGTAATTAATACTGAACCGAATACACAGGAGGAACAGAGAAGCTTTTTCAAGTAAACAGACCAACTTCAAAAGGCTGTGCTGTAGATCTCACCCAGTAATTCTGCATTTTGCACACATCTAAAACTGCCGTTTTGAAGTGAACATTTCTCAGAAAAGAGCGTCATGATTGTAATTCCAAGCATTCTCTTTTAAGTTTTTTTTTGAGAAAGCCAATTAAAGATAAAGTGCAGACAGCCCTAATTGTGCAGTTTAAGTGATACTATCTGGGTTCTTTCCTTTTTAATTAACCACGGTTAGCTTAAAACGTGCTCGAGGGGAAGATGTTTAAATAATGGAAACTGGCAGCAGACCTGAAAGGGAGAAAGTGAGGAACTTGTTTACAATGAATGGAGCCGTGGCCACAAAGACCTTCCTGACACCCTTTCAGGCTCAGATAAGACACCTTCACGGTAACGCGCAGAGCACGGGCACAAACACACGCAGGCAGTGCCCATGGTAGAAGAGAGCTGCCCCACTTCCCACAAAGATCCCACTTGGGGAAAGAGCTGGTCCTAATCCCCCTCCAGCACTGCAGGATGCTCAATAGCTTCTGGGAAGACATAATGTTGCATTATGGCGAGCCAGTGCAGTTTCAGGGGTGCAAGGCCTCAACTGTTACAGTATCACAGTTATTGGTTAGCTGAAGGGGTCATGTAGCCTTGTGGGTAAGTCTCTGTACTCATCATTGCAGGGTTGTGGAGAGGCATCTGTCCACTGCTGGACAAGAATGTGCAGAACATGCTGTTCCTAAAAAAGTGGCCAGTACCCCTCATCACCCTGAGAGTCTGTCCCCTTGCGTTTTTGCCTCTGTCCCCTCTGCTGTTGTCCCTTGATTTACCCCTGTTGGTCCAGTCCACCCAGCTGTATGAACAGGCCCAAACTAACTGTGGGGGTGGGTCCTGTGGTGGTGTCTGGGGGAAGTCATGGGCTCTCAGATGGAGAT